TCACAAGCAACCCCCATGAAGCGTCGTTGAGATTCCTTTCAGAAAGCTTGCGGTCTTTAGCGTAATGTGACCCACAGGACTATGGAACCAATTGTACCCTTCCAGCCGAACTTGAGCGTGACACCCCAGACTGCACAAACTAAAACCCTGAACCTTGGCAGGAACATCCACAGGGGCCATTTGGACCGGCAGCAGCGCAGGCAGTCTGCAAGATGTGCCCATGTCATGAAGCACAAGCTTCTCCAGGGCTAATGTAAGGATGCCCCTATACAAGTTCGAAGGTCTAAGCAAGCGAGGTTTCGTCCGGGTCGTGATCACGGCGAGCTCTAGTCAGAACCCCAGTGCTGCAATGTATGTGAGAGTCTCCGTAGTAAAATTTGAACTGGCTCACTCATTGGCCCTGGAAGGGCTTTCGTATGATAGGCCTCTGAAACAGCGTAACACAAACACATCCGATGCAATAAAAACTCTATCCGCCGCCCCCAATATCTGAACCCTGAATCCTGGAAAAAAAGACCCCTCAGCCCTACTTTATGTAATATTGGCAGACAAAAGCCTCTTGAGCTGAGAGGGGCGATCAACAACTATCGGGAACTCCACCTCCTGAACCCACGGCACCTATCTTACAAACTTAGTTGTCAGTTTAGGGTTTAGGGTNNGCTGGAGGGGCAGGGGGGGGGGGGGGCAGGGCCGCCATTAAATCTGCAGGGGTGGGGGGAGGTTTATGTTAGATTCTATTCGGCCTACAGTGGAAGCCCTAGAGTTCCCAGCAAATGATTGCCCGGAGCTCCTCAACCAAAACCCAAGAAACATTCGTCCTATGCTACAAACTCAAACCCCCTAAAGCCCTTTCCGCAGGTCTTCGCCTTCGCAGACCGGCTACTTGCCTGTCAACAGAGGTTTAGGTTTGAGGTTCCTCTCCCGAACCTCGAACCCTGTGACCAGCTTCTGAGCGTGGAGCCGTGGATGCTCTGAATAGTGAAGGTTGGTTTCCTCTAAGGTGCGTATATAGTTATAGTACGTTATAGTATAGTGTACCCGCAAACTCTAGTCTAATTATTGAGTACCTTGTATTCCAATCTCTACACTCGCAGTTTGTAGCCTTCGCACTCCTGATCGCCGGTGCACGGCCGCCAAATCCTGCACACTTCACACAACGGGCGACTTCCTGGGGCTCACTGAATAGTGAATATAGTGACCGTATCCCCTTGTAGTGCCTGTATGAGTATAGTCGTGGTACCTATACTAGTATAGTATAGTATAGGTAGCATAGTATAGTATAGTTTAGTATAGTATGGTTTAGTATAGTATAGTATAGTATAGTACAGTATAGTATAGTATAGTATAGTATAGTATAGTATAGTATAGTATAGTATAGTATAGTACAGTTTAGAATTGTACAGAATATCATAGTCTAGTAGAGTATGCAGCAAACTCCTGTTTCTAACATGACAGGCATTTGCAGCGTGCACTCTCGATGGGTCCTTCCGATCCTAACTTTGGGGGTTTCCGAAAATAGGTGACCCAAATATAGTACCCTGAGCGAAGCCCCTGTTTACGGTTGAAGACCCTGACCCCTAAACCCCAAACCCCAAACCGTAAGTCGAAGACGAGCGAGATTTTCAATTGCAGGACCCAGGCCCCGCAAGCTGCCCATCGACACCCGTAGCAGAGACAGATCCTAGAAACCCAATCTAACCTCTTTGAAGGGGTTACCATATGGGTAGTTCTCTAAACTAGGGTCCCTTTTGGGGTCCTTTTTATAAGGCTGCCGTACTATATTGGGGACCCAAAAAGGGACCCTGATTTGGAGAACTATCCATATGATGGTTAAGGGCTCCAGTAGCATGCTACGCCGGTGCACCGGGTTTTGAGGATTATTGCATTTCTTGGCCAGTTGACCTGTGGCCTTCAGGCAATCTTAAGCGAGAAGGCTTAGTGTTTTGGTCCCACAAGACATCGTGGTGTCAATTGTGTGCGTGTGTGTATATATACGTATATACACATATGGGTAGTTCTCCAAATTAGAATCCCTTTCTAGATCCCCAGTATAGTACGGCACCCTGATAAAAAGGACTCCTAAAAGGGACCCTATTTTAGAGAACTACCCATATATGTTGAGTACTTATATGGGTTCCAACACTCGTCCAAGGTTTAGGCTTGCCGGCTCTGGGATTTTGGGGTTTTAGGTTTGGTCTTGGATGCACTTTGAACTTGGATCCCTCTGACGACCCTACGCTCAATATAGTTACAGTATAGAAACTTACAGCGCGTCTTCCACTTACTAAGTCTTCAGGTCTTTATGATTATATTCCGTTCCAAGGGTCTGGGACTCTCTGCGGGCCCTGAGACGCCAGCACCCCTTCGTCAAGCAGGGTACTGCAAATCGTTGTATTTGGTGAGTCGAGGGACCTGCTTCGAGGAGCATGCAAAATCCGTCGACATTTCCCACTTATCCAGGCAACTTAAGGACAGCATGCCTGATTGCAAGGGTCCTGTGCTCTTTGTCAGGTTCGACCCAATGCTGCCTGGACCTCAGGTCATATGAGCGTGAGGCTAGGGGGTTTAGGGTGTAAGGTTAAAAGTAAGGTTTACGATAGTTGTAAGGTCGAAAGAATTTCAGGCTTACGGTTTTGGTAAGTGAGATGGAATCAAAGTGTCGTATACTGATTGTAAAGCAGGCGGTTGTCCAAGATGGCAAATGCTAGCGGGACCTGTACAACGATAGGGGACGCCCTAAAGACCACCTTCAATACTGCAATGTTGCACTGTAATCCTTGGCTCCTGGTTTCCTTCAAGAGAGGGTGTCGGGAGTTTAGGTCCGGTGTCAGAAAGGGTGTTGAGGTTGTCGGGATGGAAATTTTGGAAATCAGACGTCCCTAAATTGGGCAGAACGATACCCGAACGATACCCAGAATGTAGGCCCGTGTTGCCGAGATGGGGCCGTGGCCGTGCACGTACTGTGCCAGCTCTATTTCTTGGACCAGAAGCCCGAAAGCCCCAAAACTGAAGACTCCAAACACTCCAAGCATCCGTAAACTCGCGAAATCCTAGAAGCTTAAAGCCCAGGCCTGAACCAACTCTCCGCATCACAAAGAAAGCTTCGCCTGCTCTCAGAAATACCAGTTTTTCATAATGACTGCACGATGCCGCGCCATTTCGAAATGCAAAGCAGACCTAAACCCTAAACCCAAAAAGGGACCCTAAACCCTAAAAAAGGGAACGAAGTTCAAAACTCAAAAGCCCCAAGGACTTCAAAAGGCCCCAAGGACTTCAAAACCCAAGGCCACACCCTGGAATGCTGCATGTTCTATGCTGGATCTCCTTACTCTAAAGCAGTATACCGCTTGTTCCAGTATGCTTCAAGTTGCAAACACTGTAAAATGACAGGGGGCGCCTTAAAATATTTTAAAAACGAAACTGACGTAAACAAATAATTTTGGCACCGGCTCAAGTGTCTGCCGGGCTCCTAGAATAAATGTGTGTGCATCTGGGGCGCCTGCTGTCTGCAAGCTAAGAAACATGTTTTGTTTTGAACATAAGGCTCCCTATTCGGAGATCTTCGTAAAGAGTGTTACAGTGCATCTTTTATTTGTTCCTGAAGTCCCCAGTTCAGCTCTCAACAGTAATTCCCTCAATAGTAGTCAAAGAAGGCAATCCCCCACTCACCGTTTGTCTGAGACCGGGCTTCAGGATACCAGGATCTTGGAGGAAGGTTTTGCGCCGTGGGCGATAGGCGATACTGCGAAGATAGAAGGGGCAGCGGCCAGCGAAAGAAACTGCGAATTTGCGCAACTGGTTCACCCTCGACTTCGACTTCCTCCTTGCATTCCGACCCGGAACCATATACTATGCCAACAGCCCCTAAACTACTAAGCCGTAAACCCTAGAAGCAGGGGTTTGGACGCTGCTCAAGCCCATGACCCTAAACTCAGAACTGATGGCAAGGAGTCTCAGAGAAGAAGCGAGCCTGATCTAATAGGGCTTTAGGGGTTTCGGGTTTAGGTTTTAGGGTTTAGGAGTTTAGGGGTTTAGGGTTCTTAGGGTTTAGGTTTTAGGGTTTAGGAGTTTAGGGGTTTAGGGCTCTTAGGGTTTAGGTTTTAGGGTTTAGGAGTTTAGGGGTTTAGGGTTTTAGGGTTTATTGGGGTTGAGGCCCGAAGAGAAACGGAATTGGGGGTCATAGTAAGGTCCCCGACCAGTCCCTGGGGGATCCAAAGCCCTACCATTTTAAGGGCTCTACCGTTTGATTCAAGGGTCAGAACCTACCATGTCATCATTTTAAGGGCTCTACCGTTTAATTCAAGGATCAGAACCTACTATGTTGTCATTTTAATGGCTGTACCGTTTAATTCAAGGGTCAGAACCTACTATGTTGTAGCGTTTGGGGCCACAAGTAGTACAGTCAGAACCTCATTTTATAGGAACCCGAAGGAAGGTAACCGGAACTTTGAGCGCCCCGGAAGTCGCACCCTATGCAACCCTTAGAAGAAAATGCCGTTGTCCCTAGATAGGGTTTCGGGGATAGGGCTTAGGGTTTACCTGTAGCCCCAAAGTTCTGCCTTGTAAGGTTCCTAAAGGTCGGTTTGGGGGGCAACAGGTAATCCCTCAACCCTGTGTTTCCTAAAGCCCTCAATCCTTTATGGAACCCTCATAAACTATAGATATATCTTATCAATATGATTTCATCATCTACGTACTTTACTTTAATACATTCATTATCTTAATATCGAATATGATGTTACGTCGAAAACCCTAAACCCTAAACTCTTAAACCTACCTTAACCTACCAAAACCCACTTTTTTGTAGGCTATTATCATAAACCCTAACATGGGATTATAGGGACCCTACAAAAAAGTAGGTTCTGGTGGGTTAAGGTAAACCCTAAGTTCCCTAAACCCTAAACCCTAAACTCTTAACCCTAAACTCTTAACCCTAAGTTCCCTAAACCCTAAACCCTAAACTCTAAACCCTAAACCCTAAACCCTGCCTTGCCTTACGGATGGAACCGGCTGACGCGCCGCCGGGGCTGCGTGCTGCGAGTTGCGAGGTTGAAGTGGACATTAACATGCTCCGTGGACTACTTGCGCGGCAGACTGAGCTGCTTCAGCAATCGGGCAAAAAGGCTATGGATGATATCATGACAAGGGTGCAAAAGCTGTGGGAGGAAGGTTTTGAATCGGTCGAGGCTAGGCTTGCGGCGCAAAAGGAAGCCGTACAACAGCTTTCTGATCGGTGCAGCATGCTTGAGCAACGGCTACAGCGACTGGAGGATTGCCACGATGCTGCAGGGAGTGCATCAACTATGGTCGTGGCTGAGGTCTCTGACCGATGCTGTAAGCTTGAGGACAGGCTACAGTGGCTGGAGAATGGTCGCAATGGTACAGGGAATGCATCGACAATGGCCGAGGGCGAGAACCAGAAGGGCAGAAAAAAGAAGGGTAGAAGACGCAACAAAGTGGCAACTTCTTCCAAAGGGGTGGATCTGCCACTGCAGTGCCCGCAGACTTTGCACACCTACGACATGGGAGTGGAAAAGGCTTTGGTTGAGGCTGAGGCTGAGGGCAACGCAGACGACATTTTGGTTACTGATATGGATTTGGAACCTGGTGACTGGAATGGTGAATGGACTCAGATCACTGCCAAACCTGATGGTTCGGATGACAAACGCACCAGCTCAGCCGATGGGGCCAGCTTGTGGAATGAACATTGGTACACACCCAGCGATGCAAAAAGGAAGTGGTGCAAGCATTCGTGGCGCAAGTGGCCACGGTGGGGACAGGGATGTCGGACCGGTAGCAGTTGGACACACAGAGGATACCGCAAGCACTGGTGTCATCCTGACATGATGGAGTGGGACCATAGGCGGTCAGGTGCACCCTGGAGCTCATGGAAAGTATGGGTCCATGCTGAATGCAAATGCAGCTGGTGCAATCTGGATGAGCCATGGGTTACAGTGGTATTGGAGGGATGCCGTTGCTAATGAGTTTGACACTTGCATGGATGGTGTTGCCCTGGTATGGGTATTTCCTTTCTCAAGGTGACGTGCGTAACGCCACGATGAAGCCCGCCACTCTGAGCTTATGCTTTTGAGCTTGTGTGTGAAGAAGCTGAATGCAGGGTTGTCTAATACGGATAATCTGGAGACTATGCTTGGGTTTCACGACGGCTGTTTTCAGGTGCTTAAGTTGCTGGCACGTGCTGAGGCTACTTTTACGGTGGTGTTGAGAATCTTCCGCACCGTGTTATGCCTGTATTTCGAGATACCGTGGCGTTGAGAACCTTCCGCGCCATGTTGCATGGCTCAGCCTGTGATGGCTGGGGTCTGGCCTTTACTTCGTTTTTCCTCTCTGCAACGGAGGTGCGTAAGAGGGCTAGATTCTCCTGACCAATGTGGTCTTTCGTCGACGGCTGGCACCTTAGGCGGAAAAAGGAGCTTAAAAAAAAAAAAAAACCCTAAGTTCCCTAAACCCTAAACCCTAAGTTCCCTAAACCCTAAACTCTTAACCCTAAACCCTCAGTTGGGTTTCAGGTGCCACCTGGCCAGGAGCGTGGAGGCCGCAGGCGGCTTTCTCCACGCGTCTCGTCAGAGTCGAAGGGAACTTCGCAGCCCGGTTCAGGGTTTAGGGTTTAGGGTTTAGGGTTTAGGGTTTAGGGTTTAGGGTTCTTTAGGGTTTAGGGTTTTGGGTTTTGGGTTCTTTAGGGTTTAGGGTTTAGGGTTCTGGGTTCTTTAGGGTTTAGGGTTTTGGGTTCTTTAGGGTTTAGGGTTTTGGGTTCTTTAGGGTTTAGGGTTTAGGGTTCTGGGTTCTTTGGGGTTTAGTAGGGTTGAGGGTTTAGGGTTTTGGGTTCCTTAGGGTTTAGGGTTTAGGGATTAGGGTTCTGGGTTCTTAGGGGGTTCTGGGTTCTTTTGGGGTTTAGGGTTTTGGGTTCTTTAGGGTTTAGGGTTGAGGGTTTAGGGTTTAGGGTTTTGGGTTCTTTAGGGTTTAGGGTTTAGAGTTCTGGGTTCTTTAGGGTTTAGGGTTTGGGGTTCTTTAGGGTTTAGGGTTTAGGGTTTTGGGTTTTTTAGGGTTTAGGGTTTTGGGTTCTTTAGGGTTTAGGGTTCTGGGTTCTTTAGGGTTTAGGGTTTTGGGTTCTTTAGGGTTTCGGGTTGAGGGTTCTGGGTTCTTTAGGGTTTAGGGTTTGGGGTTCTTTAGGGTTTCGGGTTTAGGGTTTTGGGTTCTTTAGGGTTTAGGGTTTTGGGTTCTTTAGGGGCTTGAATAAGTCTAAGAGGGATTGGGGGGTAAATTCTACTGTAATTGTCATAAGGACCCACCAAAAGAGTATTGGTAATTATTTAGGGCCCTATAATAATTGTTTTGGGACTTGGGAGGTTTGGTGTCTGAGGTTTAGGGTTTGAGGCTTGGAGTGGTTTTCATTCACAAGTTCAGCGATCAGGACTTATTAGGGCCGGGTCTAGGAAGTAGGATTCAGCTTCCGTGGTTTAGTTCTTCGGGATGGGTCTCAGGTGTAGGGGTAGGGTTGAGGAATGCAAACACTAGAGCCGTAAAGCCCTACATTCCCTTTCGAGCCGATACAAAGAAGCTACAGGAATCTAAAACTGTTATAAACTCCCTCATCGGTGTCTTGGGAAATTGGGAGACGCTGTTAACTTCCATGATGGTCCGGTCGAGCTACCTGTTCGTGAATCTCTACCTGTGGGGCCCTTCCACTGATCCCAGTTCAAACCTTCTGAAACGCGTTTGCAGCACCATAAGGCTTTTCGGAGAAACTTTTAAGGTTCGCGAAACTTTTCGAGACGCCTTTGAGAACCTGGCAATAAAGGGGCCTTGATGATTAGAACAAGGCGGAGGGTCGAAACTGTTATGTTAGCGCTTTTTCAGGCCCCTATCCAAAATACAAGGGCAACTTGCTAAGCTGCTAAGCTTAGCTTTGAAACCTTATATACCCCCCAAGTGGCCACCAGGCTCGAGTCTCCCTACTAGCAGGTTATCCATGCTTTCATTTTGACACGTGGCTTCGCTGATACAGCGGGTGAGAGGAAGGCCTATGGCATGGCTTCGGACCCTTTGGTGTTTGGGCAGCCTCTGTTTGGCCTGGGCGCTCCGGGTCGACGATTCGCTCCGGGTCGATGATCGCCATCCACCTCCCTGCCGTGAAGAGTATACATGCGATGCAGGCAGGGTCAATGAGTCTGCACAGAGCCAAGAGCGCATTGCAGTGTACACATACAACATCGGTGGCTACGAGGAGATGCGTGGTGACCACATTCCATGTGTCCCGTCACACCTCGATGCTTTCCTGTTTGTAGATGAGGTCAGCCAGAAGCGTTTTGGCATGACGGCTGTGCAGAAGTGGCAAGAGCGGGGATGGCGTGTCGTGAACTTCTCGCAGGTTGAAGGAACCAAGTATGTTCCCGGTGCCAGATTGACGAGCAAATCACTGAAGTTCGCACCGCCTTCGTGGTTGTTGAACGGTACTTGGGATTGGTTGGTTGAGTACGATGGCAACATCGTGGTAGACCTGCATCGGCTTGCACCGTTTCTGCAAAAAAGGAGGGAGCAGGCCCTGGTTCTACTAAACTGGGGCTACCACCAGGACTGCAGCGATGACAGCTTCAAGTGCTTTATGACGGAAGTGACAAGCATGCTCACGGAGAGGGTTCAATATGTTGCTAGCTCCAGAGAGAATGTTCTAAAATGGAAAGAGCTCCTAGAACAAATGCACCAGGGCACGCTTACGCAGGGAGGCCGGAAATACACGCCATCGAACTACTATGAGGCGAATGTGATTTTTCGCAACCTGAAGCATGTCAAAGCCGACGAAGTCAGAGATGCTTTTCAGAAGACTTTCGCGAAGTGCCACGAGATCCAGCGGGATCAGTTTGTGTTGCCGTTTTTTCTCTGGCAAGATGGGCTCGATGAGGTCACACAGGCCTCTCCCATCGAGACCTTGGTTGACGAGCTCGGATACTGCATGGTAAGCACCCGTGTGGGACGAAACTAGGCTGACCAGCGACCGCCACGCAAGAGTCGGAAAAAGCGCCCGGTACCTGTGTGGGCACATCCTCCTTGGAGTATGTCAGAGGCCCAGAGCCAGAGTGCAATCTTGGTGTGGGTTTGTGTTCCCGTAACGCGAAACCCCGAAAACCCTAAACTCTAACCCCCCCAAAAAAAAGCAAAACGAAAAACCGAAAACCCTAAACCCTAATTAGGGCTTGGTGGTTTGCCTTGAGCCTGGGGCTTCGGAGTCGTGACGACCGGGCTGGCAAGCTCTGCAGAGCGATCGCAAGTAGAGGCTGTGAGCTGCTCATGAAGTGCAGAAGTCGCGGTTGGGGTGATGATAGACTGGTTTAGCTTCTAGGGTTTAGGGTTTAGGGTTTAGATAAGCTTAAACCCTCAACTCCAAAAACAAACATGGGTGATGATGCTTCTATCGCGGGGCCAGAGCCTGAGCCTTCACAGTCTTTGGTTCGGGTTGGCTGAGTGAGGTAATATAGGGGCCAAGCATTTACCAAAACGTTTTTTTTTTTTTTTGGGGGGGGGGGTCCTTGTTACAACTTGTAGTCATAGTACAACATGCCCCAAAACCCTAGTCCAATTGTTAAGGCCTTCTGGTCTGTCTTCGGTTGTTCCATCTGCTGAAAGGTGCGCTGTGCTGTTCCGGGGTGCTTCATTCGTTGGGTGAAGCCAGGTTTCGGGGTGGAGGGTCATAGAGGTTCAGTTTCTGGCAGTGCCCTGAACCCTAAACCCTAAACCCTAATCCCTTAACCTTGATCCCTGAACCCTAAACCCAAGTGCCAAGTTAAACCTTAAATCCCAACTTAACCGTACAAAGCCTCTGAGCCCTAAATCAGAAGCCCTCAAGCATGACGAATTGCATCAATCTGAAACGAAACCCTCAACCCTAAACCCTAAGCTTCTTAAACCCTAAACTCTAAAGCCGTAAAACTCTAAACCCTCAAATCCCTAAAACCCTAAATCCAAAATCCTAAAAACCCAAAAAGTCCAAAGCGGCGCTCGAGCAGAGGTCCTCGGTCTCCACTTTGGCAAAGACGCGAGAGTACCTGGAGGCGTCGAAACTTGCTTAGGGGTTTAGGGTTTAGGGGTGGGGCTTCAGGGGTTTCGAGTGTTATGGTTACAGGTTGCATGCGCTACCGCCAAACCCTCAAGCCCAAAAACAAAGAGTCCGCACTCAAAACCTCAAAACCCTAGGACCCTAGAACTTTAAATTCTAAGTCAAAGCCTAACCCCAAAACAGTTAAATGCTCTTTCTTCAGCCCCAAACCCTCAGCGTTTCCCTAGACCCTAAAATGCTCAACCCGAGACCCCAAAAATCCGAAACAGTAACCTCTAATGTAGGGGATTAATTACCAATACATAATAACAACAGTAATAACAATAATATAACAATAACAATAACAATAATTATAATACCAATCTTAATTATAGTGTTACCCCCAAACCCAATTCTAATCATAAAGGCCACAACATAAAACCTGTTCCCTACGCTCTTAGCCCCCACAGTAGTTCCTTTTTGGGGTTCATATTTAGAATCCTAAAAGGCAGTCCCAAAATCCCAAAAAGGAACCACTATGGGGCCTATGCGTGCGCCTTAGCCCCCAGAGGCCATCCGGAGCCTGGCGGAGATGCCACGCATCGCGACACGCTCCTCGGCCAGCAGGTTCGGGTTTAGGGTTTAGGGTTTTTAGGTTTAGGGTTTAGGGTTTAGGGCTTAGGGTTTAGGGTTTAGGGCTTAGGGTTTAGGGTGTAGGGTTTAGGGTTTTTAGGTTTAGGGTTCAGGGTTCAAGAACCCCGGGTTTCGGGTCCAGGGCTTCCAGTGGTAAAGCTTCTTTGAAGCTACCTTAAGGTCTACTTCAGGGTTCGTGGGTGTGGGGGTTTGTTGTTTTTAGAGGGTTTAGGGGCCGGCGTCTTCGGGCTTATGGGTTTTAAGGGTTTGCTTTGGGGGTTCTTTGGTCCATTGGTT